CTATTAGTGTGAGCTGGTTGGTAGCGTTTCAATGATTTAAATATTTGACCGCAAGAAAATAAATCCAATTCCGCTCATTCTGAATTCATCATCAATTAGATCCCCCTTTATCCTCCCAAACCTTCCGTTATATCTTGAATATCTCACTATGGTCATTTATTGATTTGCTATCAACCACAATTTTGGCCATCCAGCCTCTGTCTTCCGACATCCTTGCCAAAATATTTTTTGTGGGACTGAGGGTCAGGTTGAAAGTAATTTTGTACCTGCATGGGGAATTTGAAATATATGAAACTGGTTAAACGTAATCTGAAAACAACAGCGAGCAAACTGAAGCCTTACATCCCATAAAAGAATATGAGATGGTAATTCAGCACCTTTGAAATAACTTTTGTGGACTGAAAAAAAATCTCCGGATTTCTGCTTTTGAAATTCAGGTCGACCTTCTTCCCAGGGCGACCTACTATTTTGCCCCGATGCTTGAGTTGTCGTATCTGCTATAACAACCTGGAAAATAGTTCAGAGGATATATACCTTTACGTGCAGAAATAGGACTATTAAAAACGTTTTAGCATGGAACGCACAACTGGAGGGGTTTGACACAGGACCAAAAACAAAAATCCCGTTTGACAAATTTTACATTACTAAGTTGGCTCGTTTGGCGTTCCGATTTCGCCTTTCTAGTGTCCCAATGCTGGTCTTGATACTCTCATAACACTGTCGGTCATAAATAACATATCAACACTACTATTACTAACAATTTGAACGATAAACGAGCAATTCGAACAATAAAAATAGCATTTATACAATAAGGAGAGCAAATTTGAATAATAAAGACAGCAGTTTGAGCAATTAAAAGAGCAATTTGAACAATATAAAGAGCAATTAATACAATAACGAGACCAATTTTATACAATACAAAGAGCAATTTACACAATGAAAAGATTAAAAGAGCAATAAAAAGAGCAGTTTGAGCAATAAAAAAACCAATTTGAACAATAAAACAGATAAAAAATAACAATGAAATGTGCAAAACAGAAGCAGTGAAATACATATAATATGTGTATATTTAAGATATAGGCCTATGCAACGATTTAATTTGTTTCGTGTCATACAAAGTTCATCCTTCCCCGGGTCAACATGAATGGTATTTCTGCTGTTAAGCCCTATGCTTGTCACAAGTGTGACAAATGCTTTTGACGGAAGTCTAATCTAGAGAGGCACATGGAAAATATTCACGTTGAGGAGAAATCAGACATGAATGAAGTTGACGATAACTTGGAACCAGTTGAGGAGGTTGATGACGAAACCTCGGATGGAGAGAGTTCAGACTTGGAAGACAACGCCACCTACCAAGATTGGCTGGCTGAAGCCAGAGAAACAAATAGGGAGATGAGGGATGAAAATATGACAAGTACGTCGAAGGCATGGATGAAGATCAAGCCAGGCAGAAGGCAAACAGAAATACCCTCTAGGCAATCAAGCAAGACTTTTTCGACAACCACAAGGAGTTTCTTTGAAGTTACATGTATTTTGAGGGATAACAAAACTTACAAGGACATTGTGGATGATCTCAATGGAGAACTTGGCAAAGGCATGACAGTCAACAAAGCCTTGAATAGAGTTTTGCCTAATAAACATGCTGAAAAATTTGCCGGGCTGTTTCAGATAACATGAATCAGATTTTTTCTCATCTTTATATAAGCGTTTTTTTATACTTCTTCGACAAAATATTATTTCTGTCTGCTTATATGCTTACTTCGATTGGTTTTCATTATTTTTAGAACTAAAACACAAATCAGAAGGTTAATATCATGAAATGAAAACCAGCTCAGAATGTCACAGAAACTTGCTTTTTCTGTCTGCATGTTTTTCCATTAATACCGACTCTTCACTTTGGAACAAAAGAGCGTGCAATCGCTGGATCATTTTTTAACCAGATAAAAACTTTGTACTCCTTTAAGGGTCATTTTAAGATATCAAACCTATTTTGCGTTAACTTGAATGAATATTAGGATGCTATGCTTACAAATTGGCAAAGAAGATCATTTCAGTGTTACAGCCGTTACAGGGATATTTCTTACGCTCTCAAATTAGATTTAGCGATAATGGTGGAGCTGCTTACAGGTTAAAACAGCGACTGTTGCACGCTATCCATATTGCTTCATTCACAAATCACATTGATATGTGAGCCATCTCTATATTCTGTGCCTCTGAATTTCTGCCTCGTCTTTTTGGATTCGATTTCGTTGCCCTTTGCTGGGGTTGGCATTCTTCTTGGGCTTAGTCGCGTAACAAACCGTGAGGAATGTATACAGATAGGGATTGAGGGAAGGGTTAATTGGCAGAATGAAAACCACAGTCCACTCGTAAATATCAGTGTGAACTTGACAGTTCCTGTCTGAGACCGGATCCCCATGACGGTTACTGACATCCAACAACAGAAATCGGTCACAACAATCAACGCCAGCTTGACCGCCATTCTGATTTCACTGTCTCTGTGTGCTTCTACTGGGACAGCCTCTGAGGTCCTCTTGACAGTGATGGAAATTGTGACGTAACAGCACAACACAATCAGAAAAGAAACCAAGTTTATACCAAGAAAGAGAACGATTGACAAGGCCCAGGGTAGTTTCCTACCTGCAGTTTGTTCGTATTTGTGTTTAAAATTACTGAAGCCTTTGGAGGTTGGAATAGCTGCGGTTCGGGATACCACTTTAACCTCTTCAGTGGTAAGAGGAAGGCCGATGCAGACATCCGAAAGTCCATACACATCCGAATCAGAACCAACGGAAATAGTAGGGACCACACTCACTAAAAGTAGCGACAGCCCCCACAAGACAAGGATGACTTTGTTGACTTTTCTTTGAAACTGAGGGCTCGCAAAGGAAAGACTATGCCCAGAAAACTCTCAACACTGATAAGGGTCACAAAAAACACAGAAGCTTCGCAGGATAGAACTACAGAACTCCAGCGAGTTTGCACAGTATGTCAGACCGCCACTGTGGGGCATGGAGATAGTACTGGTCGCCATATTTAAGATCTGCAGCTGCTATAATTAACATGTACACACCAATTAGGAAATCTGCTGCGGCTAGACTGCCAACCATCAGGGACAGCGTCTTTTTACCCCCTCTGCCACCTTTCTCCTTGAGCCTCAAAATGATGACGGAAACATTACCAATCATAGCGCTTATTCCTAATACCCACAATGCCATTCGTAATATGGTGTTTCCCACAAGCCTGTCGCACAGATTCAAATCTGGTTTAACATTTGTTGTAAGGCAGTCGTCCTCAACAGAGAAGTTTGGCAACTCGGCCAAGGCACAACAATGACGGTAGTCATCCGTGACAGTCCAGCTGAAATATTAATTAAAAATGAATTAGATGGATGGACGAAGTACAGATTATGGTGAACAGAATTTTAATAAGGGAATAGATATGTGCTTGGCTGGTCTTGAACTTGCGTTTAAGACCGTAC